GCCCTCATTAATGGTATTGTTACAACCCCAGTACTCTGGAAAATGTTTTTTGGCATTTGTTTAACTTTGTGATATTGCCATTTACTCATTTTAACAGCCAGTGCTCAAATCTTAATGCTTTTAATAGGCCTGGCCAAACAGACTACCATCTTTTGTGAATGTATAGAAGTAATTCATTAAATAAATAGAAGTTGTCAGAAAGCAGCATTTTTTCTTATTGATGATAGCAAAAACGGGCTTCTTATAATTTGTTTATAAAATTGTATTTCAGGAAAGTTTTAGAAATGAACATATTCTGTTCTTTTTTCACCCTCAGGTCCAATTCTTTTTCTGCCACAATGACAAAACCCTGAAGATTATTTTTTTCTACCAACCTCAAACAAATCTCAGTAAAGAAAAAAAAAAAGCAACAAAAAATTAAGTCTTGAACTAAGAAGAGACAGACATTCAGAATTAATACTGTAACTGTATCCCTCCGTCAGCCTGTCATATATGGAGGTGACACATTTATGTCCAGGCCAGGAGACAGAATATCCCAGGATTTGGGCTCATATCCAATGCAGACACACTGCTGTGTAATGGCAGGAAAGTGCAATAGTCAGAGGTTAAACCGAGGTCCAAACTAACTACCTAAACTGAATCCAAAGAGCCTGCCTGATGAAAACAGCCCGAGTTGGACCAATTGCTGTGCTCTGCTCAGAGAGTTAAGTGATACTGTTGAGGTGTGCTTACCTAAAGTCATGTAGCACTGCCAAGAGCAGTACACCAAAAGCATGGGAAAAAACACTTGTCTGTAACGGCACCACTACTTCAGCTGATACCTTAAATGTGAAATGAGTCAAAGAGACAAACATAGGTGTTCCAGTTAAAACAGATTAGCTGGCTGCCTGCTCTGTCTTGTCCTTACTGAAGACAAGGTGACCAGTCGAGACACTCAAGAAAACAGAATGAGATGGATAGAACTTCCATCAGGATCCATGGAAACTCCAAAATGAAATTCAGCATTTATTTCTGTCAGTGAAAAAGTGATTCTCAGAGTTTAAAACTCATCAAGGATGCTGCAAACCCCAATCCACTGCCACCTGCATTTTAAAACACACAGCAATGCAAATGGTACAAGAAAAATCTGTGTTACAGACATTTGAATATAAATACATCATAGATAGTACAGCAAGTAATATTTAAAATGTAGATTTAGGCCATTCGGCCACTTCTTAGAGGTTCTCAAAAGAAAGAATAAAGTAGTTAATATTTCTATATTCTTAGGCTTGTATTCCTGGAATTCCCTCATTTTCCCAGCTATTCCCTCCACAAATCTACTTGAGGCAGAGTAACACAAAATACACAGCAACACTATGTAACTATCAATTAAAATTGGTATTTGACTTCAAAAGTTAAAGTTTTGTAAGGGAAAGGAGATACAGAAGAAATACAATCAATCTGAATCAATGGTGGACACTACCTACCTCTTAAAGGTGCAGAGAAAAAGTAGAAAAAAAAATCTGATTCTCAAGCAAATATCTTAAGAACCAAGTCATCCAAAGCCTTTTGACCTCCTATTTTAAAAATTTTGCTTCTAAGTTATGAGTCAATAATTAGCAGATACAAATTAACAAACATCTTAAAAAAAAAAACAACAGAAAAAAAACATTAACATTATTGTCCAGAGCTTATTTTGTAAAAGAGCTACTAAAGAAAGGTCAGTTAATTCATCATGATGGATTATCACTAAAATTTATAAGCATTAGCATTTTTCTCCTCGCTGGATACCTTGACTTTGATATGACACATATTGAATGAATCATCTAAGATGCAGGCACCAGGCAAGATATATCTTAATGCAGACAGGTCGGCGACATGAACCTTAATGGTCCTTATCTTAATCTTGTTTAAAAGCATCTTAGATTTCTGAGTAATCTTTTCACCTTCTGATATTCTCTTTTATAGAGTGTTTTTCCTGGAGTTGCTACTGATTTTCACATAAATGCATTTTTGTTGCACGATATCAACAGTGTGTTTTAGTAGCCCTAAAAAGTATCTTGGTTTGCAATTTAATAAGTTAAGTTCATATTAAAAAGAAAAAGTCAACATGCTAGAACTTTGTTAATCACCAAAAAATAATGTTACTGGAGACTGCTCTGTATATTAAATACATCATCACAGCTCTTTATAACAGAAGACTACAAAATGTGCACTGTGTTCTGCTTGTGCATAAATTTTTTTCCATTGTATTATTGATCTCAGGCATTTGCTGTACATATACAATCAAATGCTTAATTAAGGTAAAGGCAAGTTTCTCTGCTATCGTTTTTTGGAGTCTCTGACTTAAATGCTAGCTCCTATAGCACCATAACCTGGTGACATTTCTAATGTTCTATAAGAAGCATTTTGTTCTCTCTTCTTATGATTAGGTTAAAGCTGTGACATTTAGAAATGTATTTGCCTTCCATTTATTTGCACACAGAAACTTTCAAGTACCTTGGCATCTGTACTTGTTGAGTAGGACTACTTCTATTAAGCACTTGAGTAGGTCTGAAACAAATCACTACATTGCTGCTCAAGTTTCACAGGCTCTGACATGAATACATGGCTCACTTTCACCTGGAATTGGTGCATTAATTCTTTAACATTTACAACGCTACCTGAAATTCCAGGCAAAATATAGAGAAATAAGCTAATAAAAGCCCCTTAAACTTCCAGAACTGAAAGAAGATTAAATGGTTTGATTTGTTCTACTTTTGCCATCAATTTATTTTATTTCTAATGTTGAATAATGACATTGTCCTGTCTAAGAGTCTCACAAGCAGTGAGAGAACAGCACTTGGCTCCATGCTCCCAACACAGTTCATAATGACACACCGTGCCACACAGACTGGCTTTTCAACCTCTGCTTCCTGTGGGCAGTGGTACACCTCCATTCCCTCTGTTAAGGCTAGAAAGCATACCATAAAGGCATACCATTCTCACAACAGAAAAGAAAATACACTCATATTTTATTAAAGACTAAGATTCAATTTCTGCCTCTTTTTTTCTTGTCCTTTTATTTTTAAGGGAGTAGAAACTGAAATTCTGGAAGTAACCTAGTTTTTGAAGACATCAGACTAACTCATAATCATTAACTTAGTGAGGAACATGTCCAGGTACATTAATCCTATTTCTATAGCCTTGAAAAATATCTTGAAAAGGTGCAATCTCCCCATGAAAATCTCTGATAAGCAGTTTTGAAATGCAAATCTGCAGGTAAACTATATTCGGTATGACGATGAAAGAAAAATATCTTCTTTTCCCTGTACTAATATACTTATGCTTACATTATTCTGTATTTTCAACAAATTAATCTCTTAGTTTTAAAGGCAACCCAATCCAGAATAAAAGAAGAAGTGGAATGAAAAAGGGCATCCAGAGAAAAATATTGGCAATGTGATTTTAAAATATCATCCTTCAATTGTCTGCAATTTATATTTATCAATACTTTTGCTGGGTTCATGGAAGTATTCCCACAAAGAAAAAACACTCAACGTGTTTAGCTGGGTGACCTTTAGCAAAGCATAAGGGCAGTGAGAGGGGGAAGGGTACCAGAGCTGTCCAGCAATCTCTTTCCTTCTTTACTAAATGTCATTACAAAGTCTCTCCGTCCCTTCAATTCAGATTACTATTCTCATAAAAACTTTCTAAAGTATTTGCTAAAGTACTGTTATATACAATTTGATCTTGTATATAACAAGATCAACTATCACATGCTGCTTAATATTAAATGCTAATTAGAACAGCAATGATAGTGAGAACTGAAATATGCCCACAAATTCCTTAAGAAAATGAGCTGAGTACAAAATCTGTTCTCAGATTGTTGCCTTTGAGTATAAGCAGAGTTTTGCAAGCTAAAGTTAAACAAATTTATAGTCAGTAATCCACTTTTTTCACTGACTGTACATTACCTGGTCTAATGTGGTCACCTAATGGTTGCAGCCAGTAACTGCACTGATGACTGGAATCCGTTAAAGACACTCAGAAATAAAAAAGAAGAAAAATCCTTGCTTTGCTAACCCTTGTTGGTTTTACCATTTGTCATTCAGTTGAATGATCAAACTAACATGAAATCTTGGAAAAAAATAATAGACAAGTATTCTTTCACTTTAAAAAATATTCCCTTGCAAGGAACCCTGGAGATGAGCAAAAGGGTCTGAAACCTTTATTTTTCCATTAGACTGCAGGGGTTTTTTTTGTTGTTGTTGTGGTTGTATAGTAGGGGCTTTAATGGTTTTATTATGGTTGGTTGTTGAGTTTGGGTTTGTTTATTTAAACATTGCTAAAATTTTTTAGAATTTAAAATGAAAAAAAAAAAAGGTCAAATTCTTGCAAACATTACCTGAAAAGTGGGCAAGAATAACAGATTAATATTGGAGGTTAATGCTCCTGTTCCCTAGAGCTGACCATAAATAACCAGAACTAATGGAGAAGAAAGCAGAACTTCTGTGAGGTACAAATTAACCATAATTAGATATCTGTTGTTAGTGAAATTTGATACCACATAGTCTGAAATTGAGAAATTTGATTCTTTTCAGCTGATGCCAGAAAGCAATTCCCATCAGACTCAGGAAAAAATATACCACAATCTGCAGCACAATGAAAGCAAACAAGAAACAAGGAAAGCAATGAACTGGATGAACACTGCATTCAAATAGTAAAAATATGCAGAGTTGTTCTTTTTTATTCATAGTTTCGTAGCACTCAGGAAACAAAGAAAAAAAATTGCACTCCTTTCATAATTACTGAGATACAGACATTGCTGAAAACAAATGAGCCTGCTGTTTCGAAAAACAAATCAGCATAGCAGCCAATACGAGACTGAAGAAGTTGCAATGCAATATAATTATGTTACTGCAATATATTTATTCTATATGCATCCACATGTTAATGTGTAGAACGAAAAAATTCATGGTATGTTTTTCAAGTACAGCAGCTGTTTTTTAAAGGAAAAATATGAAGAGAGATTTCCTTACCTTATAGGATGGCAAAAAACACAGAATTCCTTGGCCAACTGTTTGACACACTGAAAGCAGAAGTGCTCCCACCTCATCTTGGAACTCAAAGGTCTCTGTATGCTGGAACGTGGCACACAGCTTCCGACCATTCGGGCCTGCTCCAATGGTGCCAACCCAAACCTTGTGTATTTCACATTTCAAAAGTTAATACTAAAGTAAGTGACGACAAAACGTGCTAAATTACATTATGCTAAACAATGAAACTTTAAAGACAAATTAAAATATTTCTCTAAGCAAATGAATCCTGGCACTTAACGCTTCAGAAGAGCACAATAATTGAGATGAAACTGAATTACCAAATAGCATAGCATTACGTTTTCTAATGGAGGGGTTACATTCAAAAGTTTACTTTACAATTGCATAATTCCAAGTACCAGCCTGGTCTGTACATTTTTTTCACACTCACAGAATGCATCTGTCAGTATTTTTATTTGCAAGCTACCTTTATTTCACAATGGCCAGGAGGGAACAACTCTGCAGAAACTTACCTGTGAGTTCCGGATAACATGATTTGCCTCCAGCTGGATAGAAAACTTCACGCCAAGTTCAGAAGAAAATGAATCCATTGGAGAGAGTGTACCAGAGGTCAGAACAATTGTTCTGACATCATTTAGGTCTGAAAAAGCCTAAAAGTTGGAGAAAGAAATGAAGGAATTCAGAAAACAGATGCAATCATCTACACCTATTTGCTATCATTCAAAATTAGTTCCTTCACACCCAGCTTACCACAGCAGGATTCAAGCACCAAAAATTAAGCATGTGGACTACAGTTTTATGTCGCAAATTCCTTTTATGTTTGGTCTTTGTAAGGAAAGCACTTGTATCTGAAACATCAGGTTGGTTTTCATTTGTCCAAGCGTAAGTTTGTTGCAAAGCAACTCTGTAATCATCTGCAAACCTATGAAGAGGCACAGAAATATTAAAACTACGGTTAAGCAAACTGTAAGCATTAAGTTCATAAAAGACAAAGATGATATGTTGCTACAATGCCTTTACAATTTAAGTGTAAATAATTTTATATGCTGCAGTATCTGAAAACAGAAAAGCTGTTCGTGCAGACTGTGAAGGCTTCTTCACTAGAAGAAGGTCACTCTGCAAGAGATACAAAGTTCCAATAGTTGTCAGTTCTCCTTTTGGATAAATAATGAAGACTCCCAGTAATTAATATTTTTAAATATAAGGTTTAAAGCAGAAAGCATTACTAGCTGCTGGAATTTAGTAGACAGAAGTGCTACGTAGAAAAACAAAACCCATGCACATTTAACTTGGCAAAGCATCAAGAAAATTCATCTCTAACTTTCAAATAAATTTCTTCAACATCTGAATTCATTCCTGAGTGAAACCAATAAAATTCAGTAGTATTTAAATTAGTTCTCAATTAACTCTTCCCATGTAAGTAAATTTCCCACAGCTTTTTGAAATGTTAGTTTTTCCTCAGTCTAGGCACTATAACAAAAGTGTCACACAAATGAAACAGACTGTTTGGCAATGCAGCGGAATTGAACACCACCACTCAGCTCAGGCTACGTATTTACACTGACCTGCTGTTATCTTTAAAAAGATATACAAGAACCATGAATAAGCCTTTCAGCACAATCTGAGTGGCAGAGCTCACGATAGGTATCTCAACAAGTTCCTCTTTACCAAACATTGATATTTTTTCTTCTTTTTCCAAGACAGCAGAAAGGTGTTTCTATGAGAGGCAAACAAATTCCACATTAACATTCTGATTTATCTTCCCAAAAGCAAAGTTAGTACAGATGCAAGACACCAGCACACTGCTTTAAAAGTTCACCTACGACACCTATAAAGTCTGACCGAAGATAGAATTGGAAAGGAAAACTAACAGAGCTTTTAAGGTATTTGGCTTACACAAAAAGAAAGGATAGGGTTGAAAATACTCTAAGTACATTTCAACAGTCAATAAAAAATGCAGACAGATAGAACAGACAAAGCTATCAGTGACTAACTGGCTCAATTTAAGATAATTGTACATGATCAATTTTAACCTTTAAAACATGGATTTTCTGCAAGTTGCAGTAGCTCAAATGGATTACTCCTGGTTTTCATCATGTATAATTTTTAGAAGCTTTTCAAAATTGTAGTAAAGTAACAGACGTGTCAACATTTAGTTTACGGGTATTTTAAGATGTTTAACAACTCTAGTACTCATTTATATAGCTTACAATATTACCTGTAAAATGGGAAAACTAATATTGGTTATTCCCATTTCGTGAAAATGGTTGAGCATTTCTTTTCCACTCCAAACCTTACAGGAGGTTTCATACCCTGTTTCTACCAGCTGACTAGAGCTTGCCCGTAGCCAGCTATAAAAGAAAGAAATCAGAATCAATTTTAACACAAACTTTGAAATACATTCCAAGTACCAAACAAATTGAACCTTGAATTGCACCACTCTTCTATGATGACCGTGATAAACACTTGACCACATTTTCCTTATGCCAGCTTTTCTCTCTTGAAATGAGTTGCTCTTGATGCAGCTCAATGACACAAGAGGAAAACTTCTCCCTATGCATTTATATTTTCTTGCTATGTATTATTTTTTCAGTAAGGAAAAGAGATTAAAATAAAATCTGTTTTTATGATATAAGATGTCAGGCTCATTTAGGAAAGATTTCTGCCATACTTTTAAAGCCACTTGTGACTGTAACTGATAAAAGTTGGTTTGTCATCCTCTCAATTACAAACCTCCCTAAAAGAAATAAATCTTAAGACATGGAATGACTCCTTTTAGAATCTATATAGATATTTGTAACTCTGCTGCAACTTGAAAATTAAGTGGAATTATAACCATAATGACAATGCAATACACGATAGGGCTTTCTAAAACCAGGACCTAAACAAGCTCATCATCTCTGCCACATTTGTGGCAGAGCTAAGATTTCCACTACCTAAATATGCCTTTCATCATCTCTGCACTATTACAAAGCTCTCCCCCTCTGTCTAGAAAAGCAGGCAGGCTCCTTCTTTCTCAGGAAATGCCGAAGCTGTCTGTCTCATCAACCAGCAGGAGGCATCAGAAAGACAGCTGTCATTTCTACAACAGTTCAAAATATGTATCTGTAAAATCAGTTAATCATTATCAAATAAAGCAACAAGGCTTAGTAACTGTTTCAGCTCCAGATTTCCTGTCCTGTCACTGCAAATCATCTGCTCAACAGAACAATTAAAAAACCTACCTTTTTGCCAGGTTACACACACAAAAAAATATCTCCATAAATACTACCAGAACAATCACTTCTTTGGCCATAATTTACTTTATCTTGTTGAGGAACGATGATCACTAACACAGGCATAAGTTCACCAGTGTACTACTCAGCTTTAATTCCTCAAATGTAACATCAGAAAGACCTGGAACTAAAATTAGGAAGAGGCTAGCATGACAGAAACGAATGAATGGATAAAACATTTCAGGAAATGTAAAACCTCTGTTTCCCTGTTCTAAACCTTATACACCATCACATACTTTAAAGATGGTTTTTCTATAAATGCAAATACAAACACTTTCCAAATCTCATACAAAAAGTATCACAAAAAAGGGCAAATTCTAGAAGAGAACAGCCATCCTATTAAACCTAACAGTAAAGCATTTACTTGAAATACCTGTTCATTATTTAAAATAAGTATTTATTTCCAGAGAAAAGCCGTAAGCATAAATAAAATCAGCTTCATTCTCGGAGATCTATGGTACTGAAGTGGAACCATCAGCATATGCAGTATTTTTAGGAAAGGATTCAGCATGTGTTACAGACTGCCTTCAGTTCAAGCACGTTTACCCCTTCCCTTCCTACCAGAAAATCCTATTGTTGACACCAAACGACCAATTTAAACAAGTGATTGATTGGTCCTCCATTGACCAATCAATTTGTCCTTTTAAACCTGCATCTCATCAGAAGAGCTTGCTAGCAAACCTCCATTGCTGTATCTTCAAATTCCTCAGACAGGTCATTTTAGCACCTCAGTGGCACTAAGCCCATTGCTTAAGTGCTGCCTGGAACGAGGGCCCAGGACCTTTCCAAGTGAAATAAGATTTTTCTAATTACCCATGCATTTGGCAAAGCCACTTCACTTTATGCAACAGCACATTACCAATTACTGGCCATTTACACCCAGTCCTCTGCTTTCCAACTGCTTTCCTTATTGTTGGCAGTTGCCAAGACAATCAACCTTCATTTTTCTGATAAGGTTAAAAGGCTTGGGGCAATCAAATCTCCAACCATGGTATCCCCATCTTGTACTAAAATATAGCATTTGAAATATCTGAAGTAGGAGAACTAGCGTCTGCTGAAGAGAAAACCAGAAGTCGTTTCTTTGACACAAGCATTAACTCTCAGGACAGAGGATAGGAAAATGATGAACTACTTGCTGTAGTGCTGCACAATGTATTCCACCAGCCACTAACACAACAAAACAATGATTTGACATGCAATGCACCAGAGTTCAGAACACTTCAAGGCCATGGCGTTCAGCTTTCTCATGTGCCCATTCCACACAAAATATATCCTTCTGCCCTCTTGTTTTCTCCCCAACCTTCTGCCCCTAGTCTACTGGTTTCTATTCCACTTCCTCTCAAGATTTCCAGCTTTTGTTGAGGTTCCCTCTTCCAATCCTCTCTGTGCTTTCTGGATTTTACATGCTTTTTTCCTCTTACTACCTTTTCCTTTACATGAACAACAATAAAAATAAAGCAGGGGAGAGGAGAACATTTTCTACTTTCTCGGCTTCATTCTGCCTTACGTATCAACTCTAGCTCCCAAAACTACACTCTCAGTCACTCATATTTCTCTGTTCACTGAAATTCATGACACTTATGTTCCAACAAGGCAGGTGGGCAGAGATTTAGCACATCCTTGGTTTCAATTTCAGTACAAAAGCAAATCATAAAAATCATATTCTGCTGACATAATGTAGGAAGAAGGAATGATCAGTAACAGTGCATGGACAACTTGTGCTTGAGAATAATCAGAAAAAAGGACAGGGTATGCTTGTGCAAAGTGTTTGCCAAATCCTCTAATGACATAACAAGTCTCTACTGCAAATTTGTATATACTGCAGGTTTTCAGAGCTCTCACTCTACTCAAATTTGAGCCAAGTTTTGCAGGGAAAACAAAGCGCACGAGTGATAAATTCACTTTCAAATATGAAGAATCTGCAACCAAATCATACAGGGACTGAGATTCCTACCATAGCAGATCATGAACATTTTAAGAAAAGACAAAAGGAATCTAAATGCTATTATCTAAATACTAATTGACATAAAGCAATTCAAAAGAATTGTCTTACTTTGTCAAAGAGTAGCACACAGCCCGAAGATGTTCATGATCCTTCTGCCTGATGTTGTTATTGACCATGAAATCTAGCTCTTCTCGAGCAGCATTTAGTTGACTTTCTGTAACACTGTAGCTCACTGCCTCCCGAGCACTGTCCTCAATATTATGGGCTTCATCCAAAATGACCACCTGGCCTTTCAGGTTGATTTCCATCTTAAAAAAAAAAAAAAGTTTAATCTGGTAAAACAGAGTAAAATGCAGTAATGAGAAATTATGTTCAAAAATGGTCTCCATGAGCCCAACAAGTGACAGATTAGCTAAGCTATATGAACAAAGGAAACATTAGTTGGAATGCAGAAACCATCCATTGGAAAAAAAAATTATTTAACCCAGGAGTTATTTGTAGATTATATTTGGATACAAATAGGATTTCAGCTGATGGTGATCACTGAACATTACAGTTTTGTTTTGTTTTGTTTTTTAACTTCACTTATTGCAATGACTCCTAGGAATATACTTACACTCTCCCGTATCTGTGGATCTAGGAGATAGTTATAAGGACAAAATACAATATCTGCCCCCACCATGAGTTCTCTGGCTGCAAAGTATGGACAGGCACGAAGCTTCTTTCCCAGGCTCACTAGATCCTCAATGTCCCAAGCCTGGTATGTGTTATGTGCAGAATGCAGGGCATAGTGTTCAGTGAGTTTATGAACACCGTGATAGTAAAGACAGGACTTGCCCTAAAAGCAAATGAGCACAGAACATTTCAGGTTACAAAAATAACAAAAAACAAGCAAGCTTAAAAGCCTCACAGTCGTTACATACATTTGATTTTATTTCCTAAAAGCATTTCTACCAGTTACTATTTTTTTTTTTTATTATGGGCAATAATGAAAAGCACATCTTGAAGAGATTAATGTGGCCAGATCTGTAGTTCATTCAATAAACAAAAGGTACTTTGCATTTATGTATACAAGAAATTAAATGCTTGCAAAAATAAAGATAGCTACTTTATTCCACACAGTGTAGACAACATTATCAAAGCCACAAAAATATAGTGCAGAGCTACCAGTCCTCAATGTGTAATCTCATAATTTAAAGGAAAATATTTTTAATAGAACTGTTGAAATTATAACTAAGCTCACAAATAGGATGAGCAATAAGGATTATTTTTAGCGTATGCTTTTCAACACAGAAAATGTTGATAGATGGTGTCTGTCAACTAAAATGTAATTTTATCTTAGTTACCAGAAGAATTTAACCAACCAACATAGCATGAAGAAATAAAAACAAAACTCAACTACCTTTCACTCTAATACACTTATAGTCATATGCTCAGAATTACTCACATGCTTTCCTTCCAGTAATTCTACACACAGTTCATTCCTGTTACTACTACTGGACACCACTGGATGAATACAGGTATAATCCCGACTAGAGAGAATTGTCATAGAGACACCAGAATACGCTGTCCTCTTCAACTCCCTGGTAATCTGGGCAATTTGTTTGTGAGTTCGCGTTCCAAAAAATATTTTGGGAATGAACGTTTGATCTCCATTTGCTTTCTTCTTTGTGTTACCAGCATCTTTACGAGTTTCTTTTCCAGAGGAACAGGAACACTCTGTGCAAGGGATGGAAAGCTGTAACCCAAACCAAAAAAAGATTAGCAAAATCCCACTGCAAGATGAACAAGTCAAATATTTTTACGGTCTATTTAGAAACTGCCCTGTGGGATAATTCAAGATATCCTGTTAAATCATCACACTGGCCTATCAACGTTAAGAAATGTTAAAAAACACACATCACATCTTCTCATGCCTGAAAGTCTTAGAATACTTTCTGCTATCACCATATTCAACTTCATCAGAACCCGATCACAGAGAAAACTGCTGCTCCCATGCAAACAGGTAAGACACACAAAGAACGTAAAGGAACTTCTGACATTTAAACTTGGGCAGAAGGATACTACTGTTATAAAACAAGAAGCATCCAACAACTTAAAGGAAGAAAACTTTGGGATGTGACACCTAAATGGAACTACTGAGAGCACTTTTCCTTAAAGCGTGCAAAAGAAATCCAGACAGTTTAATGAAATCTGCAGAAAAAGTACCAGACAACCTCACATAGACTCAATTAGGAACAAATTTGATGTGCTGCTATGTGAAAGGCCTTCTAGTAACTATGAAAAAAGACAAAATGAATAATTCTAAGCAGAACCCATAAAACATTTGTTAAAAGCATTTTCTTTCTTCTTGAGAAGCACCACCTTTTTAATGTCTGTCATAATGCAAGATAGTGGAACAACTGTCTCCAAACTGTAATAATTAGCATGAAAAGAAGCACGGAAAACAAGAAACTCATGAGTAACAGTGCCTACGTACATCTCTCATAAAAATAATGAATTCCTCCAGTGTACAAGGATTTGTATTTGATTTTCAGCTTGATAGTGCAAGTACCAACATGTAGCTGCCAGCTCCAATATTCCTCCCTCCCTTTTTAATTGTAATCAGTAAGATTATCCATTATAAACAAATGCTAGTCATGCTGTGTGTTACACCACAACTGCGGATCAAGCTGCCTTTTAGCCTCCACTCCAAGGCAAAGCAAGTTCACATTACCCTCAGCCCCACTCAGCCTTGTCCACCATTAAATATTACAATACATGATAGGATGCATGTAAATGTAACCCTTCTGGGGCTGTCACTCACTGGGATAAAAGGTTCACTGGCGTGCCAAATAAACAGCCCCTCAAAGCAGATACAGTTACACCCATGCTGGAATTGTTACATTCCCTTCTCAGGTTGCCAGTAACAGCAGATTTCATTACCCTGTGCTGCCACATTAAATAGCCAGTTCCAAATATCCTGCCTTCAATATTGAATAATTACTTATTCACCGAAAGGATAAAAAGAAGAGTTATGAATGGGGCTCTTGTCAACAGCGAGGCAGGAAACAGCTGACATGTGGTGTATGTTACATACGTGGCAATGCTCAACTCTGTTTGTACTCACACAGAGAGCTGCAAATTGCACCTTGATATTTCCACTTTGTTCTTTGAAACAGCGAACAGCGCATTAACGTGCTGACAATTAATGCATAAGAAGCAGTTTGCCTACTCCATGAATGCATTTGGCTTTTCAACTCTATTCAAATTGATTTGCAGAAGTCAAAGACAATAGTTATCACTAATACTTGGTGCTAATGCTAAGCTCCACATTTCGCTTATGAAATAAAAGTGATAGAAAAATATTACGACCAATCAAGCAGCCGTTTTGTAAAAGTTGTTGTAACAATGGGAAAATGCAGCTCTTCTGCATAGAGAGAGAGAGAGAGAGAGAGAGAGAGAGAGAAATATATATATATATATACACACACATACACAAAGAGAAATAGATGTGGGAGTGTATAAATAATTAAGAAAGTAGAAAACTATTTCACCGTGGCCAGTGGCTTTAAGACTAAACCTGTCTTTAGCTGTTTGAACCTGGGATAGATTTTTAGAGAGAGGAAAAACATATAAGCCTTCTGCACTACTTCATCAGTAACATCCAGTGGCAGATGTTTGAGATCAGATACCAGCTATATGGACCTGGGGCAATCCAGCTTGTTTTCCCTTCTGTCAGCAGGCAGATAAAGCTGCCTATCGCATCAGTATTTATACAGCAAAAACATCCAAGTCACATTAATAAAAGAATAATCAAGTCTGCCGACCTGTCCTACGTGTAAAAAGGAGCTAAACAAACACTGAGGCTGTGATCTGAGAAACACAAAGAGATAAGAGGAGTTCTTCATATCTGCATCTACATTTCCCAGTTACAAAGCCATTTAGATGATAAAACAGTGAATGCTGCTTGTGTGAAATATCACACAAGCACAATCTAGTAAGATATCAGCAGTGACATTACAGAGCTTTTCAACTCCTCCTTTATGGGCCTTGGAAAGCACAGCACCCTGTGGCTGCTGCAGCCCCTTGATTAAGGCACACAAAGCAGCTGTTTATCCTCTGCAGTAACCAGCAGGTGAACCCAGTTCAATATTTATCACAGGCTTTCACAGATCACTGCTAACCAAGCAAACGTTTTAATTAAGCTGGAACCTGCTTCAAAGAGCTCATTCAAAACGTCAATCAGCAGGTAAAGGATCAGATACAGTGTCAGGTGAGAGCGTGTAACACAAATCCACAACTTTCTTCATCCCATTGCGGTAAATTAGCCTATTCTGGAGTCCAGACCCTGATTGTAACAGGCTGCCAGTCTCCTGGAATGTGTAACAGAAGTCACTCAAACTCCATTGTGAAGGTTGTAAGCAATATGTTCGACTGCAATAGGCTAGCACATTAAGACAGATTCTTTTCACAGTTGTTTCTTGATACCCCAAGTGTTTGTTACACTACTCTCCATTTACTGTTTACTTTTTTTTTAAACCAAGTATAAATGGGGATTCCTCAACCCAGCTGCCCCAGTTTCTCAGACCATATGCTTTCATAGAAGAAATAAAGAGAGCAGCATAAGGGTACGATTTCTCAGCTGAAGCTCTGGGAGGACTGCCTCTCTCAGCTGGGCACACAGCACTGAGCACCCGGCCGTGGGTCCTGCAGGTGCACAGCAGCCCACCCTGCCTCTGCTGGGCTACGAAACAGAAACCTGACAAGGAGACAAGGAGCTGGTTTTGCCAAGATCCTTTGCCATCAAACAAGGACCAGGCAACAGTGTTCAACCGATGCACACACTAAGAATTAACGAGAATGACCTGCATAACAACAAGGGACTTCACTGTATGTGAACTGATGTACTGTTATAAAAAAAAATGACGTTTTCTTAAAAATAATAAAATACTGATTCACAGTTGATTTTTTTTTTTTTTGTAGAGATCAAATGACTGTTTTCAATTTTCTTCACTACCTAAAATTCCTAGAACTTGAAGAAAAGGAAAAAAAAAAAAAGAAGCTTTGCACTAAAGTACCCAAAGCAAATCTGATAATCAAATAAGAGAAGCCTTTTTATTTGAAAATCAACAGCACACTCTGCTGGCCTTTGTATTTCAGAGTGCCAATTGAAGTTCAGGGGCACAAAGCACCTCACATCCTACTCAAAAACCTATGGAGCTTTCCAAAGCTCGTGAAAATCACATCAAAAGACCCGGAGAATTGCTTCCATTCATGATAAGACTCAGCTCCCACTCTCTCAAAGTGATACCAAAGCTTCTAGCTTCTTTTGCCAAAGCAGAGCACACTGGAAAGCAGCTCTTGAAGTGAAAACAAACAGTAATTAAAATAAAGGCTGCTCTGAGTCATACAAAGGCCCAAGTCAAAATCATTTTAGAAAACTGCCCATGAACTAATAATCATGGCTTAAGAGCTGTTATTAAGTTACTTACTGTTTGGGGAGAAGTGTTTTTTACACTTTTTTCAGAGTGAACAATCAGCTCCCCATTTTTTCTCTGATTATAAACTTCTAAAGCATCAACCAGCTGCACCTCTTTTGAAAAGCAATGACGTTTTCTAACCTGTTGGGGTGAAAAAAAGGCCTTGTGATGAAATCTATTACAGAAATACTGCACTCCACGCTGTAGGCTAGAGAAAACTACATTTGCAAGGGTACACTACATAGTTCTAATAATGTACTATTGGTATTTTTAATATATATTTGCAAGAGCACCCAACTCTAAAATCTCTCAAACTTCTTCAACTTCATATTATGTATCTACTAATGATAAATATGCTTTGAGTTTAAATATGTAAGAAATCATTTAGGACATAGTACTCTTCATAACTTAATGCAACAATAGGCTCTTGTTACAACAAGAATGAACAAAATCTGTCCACCTAAATCACAGCCATGCCAAGGATTCACCTTTCTCTGAAACACTGATTGGTATTTGACAGCTGTTTTTGAGAGCTGCACCTGAATAGCTTCACTGCCAGTGAACTCTGCTCACCTGCTGCTCTGTTTCTAAAGGACGAATCCTCTTCCTGTCTACTTGAAAGTCATCGCTCTCGTTTCCACATACAGATGCCCTTTTTTTGGCAGACAATTTTGAAGCTAGGGTATTGTTTTCCTTGCATTCTGTAAAAATTAAAGGGAAATAGGAAAAAAATCATGTTCACTAGTAGAAATGCATAAAGCAAGGGCAACATTTTAAATACATCATTTATTACAAACATGGTTAAGACACAACATAGGGAGATTTCTACATAACAACATCCATGCAGGGCAGAATCACACAGCACTCTGCTATTTTGACAAAAAAGTCCCTGACTTGAAAGCATGAGATGTGACATCAATGGCAATGCCTTTTAGTGCTAGAACAGATTTTTATTTTCTTCTCTTCAGAATTACCTGTGTCTGTTTGTTGGCCTCCAGTTTTTACAGAGCCTCCTGTTTCATAATTATTAGAACATGCAGCACCGTGACTCGTTCCTGCAGCCTCCTCGCTGCTCTTGGATAGGGAATGACAAACACAGCAACACGGTGGGGAGGTTGCTGGCTCCCTCCTGTCTTCCTTTTCACATGACGATTTCAGCAGTGATTTCTCTAAGGAAAATAAAGGACACAGCTGTTTGTCTTCCAGAAAACCTATTCAAGCTTGTAGACGAGAACTAGACTTCCATAACAGTTAAGATGAAAGGCTTCGTGTAGATACCTGTTATAAAACTCACATCTCCCTACATGCTACACAACCTGAACAAGCTGTCATCACTCATTCAAGATCTGTCGAGCAAAGAAACTGTAACAACTCACACAACTAAAAAAAAACAAACAACCCTCTTTTGCAATTCAGTCTGCTTAACTGCAAACCACAAGTATTTTCCTTTTAAGTCCAAAAGCTATGTAATTCCCATACGATAACAGACAGCTAAATCCACTTTAACATGAAAGTTATTTTGCTCAGTGCTACTGGCCATTACTCCTGTGTTTGCCCAATGCCACACTGCGAAGGAGGCAACACATGTAACCACGAATGGAGCCCTAGATAGACTCCTGATACCAAATATTTAAGAATTTCCTTCTTGTTAAGGAAAAACAAGAGCAATTCATTCCAGTACATTTGGTAATTAAAAGCTATGCAGACAGACGTTACAAACACTTACCATACAGAGCCTGCTGCCATGATAATGCAGAACAAAGTAATGCCAAGCTTTTGCCACTTCCTGTGGGGCTCTCCAACAAGCAATGCTGCCCATTATTTAAGCCCTTAACAATCTTTAAGAATAACAAGAACAAAACTAGAATTACTAGGGAAAAGAAAATTCTCAGGAAGGTGAACACTTAGTGAAACACTAACATTTTGTTTAATAGGTGTGCTGCATTAAATCATTCTCTCCTTATATATTTGCAGAACCATATAAAATCTAGATTAGAATACACGTCTATTACAAGCCTTTACAACATTACAGAACTTTCTTCTTAGCATGAATATTGACAAATCCAAAAAATGCACTTCAACATTCCCTACCTGGGGCCAGGTATTATTGCACAGCACAAAAAACAGTAAGGTCCATTACGAGTGAAATTCTCAAAACGCTGGAGAATTAAATATGTTATGGGTGAAGTAAACTATGTTATCTTTCTACAGGCTGGTGGGTACTGAAAGCTGTAAGCTGTTTGCCAGCGGATGGTCATACAAATGCTACTTACAGCATTCATCATAGCAAGCTGTGAAGGGTAAGCCTTGCAAGGGAACATAATCTTCACTCCCCCAATAGTATATTGTGACATGTCAGAAGACATTGCTGCTTTTCTCTGTTTATTTCAGGTTTATAACTGCAGTAAAAAACAGAATCAAGTCAATATTACCAACAAGGAAAGCTCAAAACAACAAAAAGCACCAAACCAAGCAGGAAGAGAGCTAAAAGCTCTGGACATTAGCAGAACTGGCATACAGGAATTTATACTTTGTGTCTTCTGTTCTGGCTTACTTGTCACAATGAACAAGTTACTGCCATCTGATGAGTAATGTCAGCAATACAAATAAAACAAAAGATATGGGCACAAAAAGAAAGAAAAACACTATGAATGAAATGCACACATCATTTTAGAGTCCATTTCTCAAGCTGAATATTTTTGAGATAACAACCCAGATCCCATGGGAAGGAAGACAGAGGTATTTTATGAGATTGAAATGACTAAAAAGAAAATGAATTTTTTTTTTTTTATATCAGTTTTTCCATCCTTCAGGCCCATTAACTTGAACTTCAAGATGCTGTAATCTACAGTGACACAATTGGCCAACAAAAAGGTAAAAATTGGGCACTGACGTTAAAAAGGAGATGTTTTAAACCAATCCCATCTTTATATTAACCAAAGATAAATGGGCTGCCACTAACTTTGCTGTTCTGCTCGTGTTACCTTGCATTTCCCTCATTCTGAATGATAAAGAAAGCCTGCTTCATACCATGCTAAGTTTAAGATACTGGAAAATACATATATGGGAGGAAAAAAAAAAAAAAGATTAATTTTTAAAAGACATAAATCCATCTTTTTCAGCATGTACAAACCAAGAGAGCAGCCTGACATATGAAACGCGTCCTCAGCTGACTTTTGAGGAGGAAATACAGACATCAGAAAACCAGCAGCACACGGCACGGCTCCTCACCATCAGCTCCCAGCAGCACAGAGAAGCCCCGCCAGAAGGGGATCGCTGACGGGAGTTTGCAGTCACCCCCTCCTCCCAAAACGCAACCGCAACTGTGGGGGGCTTTTCCCTACAACACTCGGGGGTCTCCCCAGCGATCAGTTCGGAACTGAGTTTATGCGGTCTCTGCCAAAGAACAGAGGTGGGAAGGACTCCATTAAGGACCGAATGGGGCAGAAGGCGGCAGCACCGGGAGCTGTGGGTGGGCCCGGGCGGTTCTGCTGCTGCGGGCGGGGGAAGAGAGAGCTGAGGGAGCGGCTGCATTCATCCTCCAGAGCGCATCACCGCCGCGCACCTGGGCGTTTCTTTCGGCTTCTCTAAGAGGCCCCCAGAAAGCCACCCCGCGGTCTCCTCCGAGCCCGTTCCCCTCAGGGCCGCGCTCCGCCCCGCGGAAAGCGACCAGCGGCTCCGCGCGGCCGCTCACCTGAGGCGACAGCTCTGTCAGCGTCCGACCTTCCCGCCTCCCGCGCGGCCTCGGCACCGCCCGCCAATCAGCTGACAGGAAAGGGCGCGGAGCCACCAATCAGCAAACCGCGTACTGAACAGCGCCCGCTCCGCCGTTAGAACCAATCGTGGAGGACTTTGCTGGTTTCCGCGTTGTGCTCGTTGCTACGCAACCAGACAACGCGGCTCCCCAGGCCGTGCCCCTGCTGATAACAAAAATTCACCCCAAATTCAAAATTTGTGCAGCTCTGAACCGTTCCGTACATCAACTTTTTTCTTTTTTCCCTAAAATTATTTATTTAAATATCAATACTGCATAGAAAATCGAACATAAGAAAAAAATATATATTTACATACATTGCATCGAGATGACAAAAAATATAGTCAGGTGTTACCACATGGTTACACTCAAACAATCCTGGAATGGTGGTGGGAACTCAGCATTAGCCTCCCAGTTAACATCCAGCAGCGGTCAAAGACAGCTATGCAAGACTTCCTCCAGCCACACTAAAAATCAGACCATTATTTCTGAAATGTAAGCTGATTTTAATGGAAGAAAATATTTTACTTAATGAGGGATGCTGAATGGTGTCACTTCAAATCCAGTAAAGATAAGCTGCCAAGCTTAGCAAGTCGAGTACAACATCCAGTTCTGGCACAACTGCCCAACAATTTTATCTCTCTGCTGCCTCACACCAGAGCTTACGCAACCTTCAAGAAAATTGCACCATAAACCTCTCCTGCAATGCCACAATACATCCATCAAGGCCAAATCCTGCAGCTGTAAATGAAAGATCATGTACACACATGGATTCAGCCTTCTCATTCTCTGAGCTGTAACTGCTGTGGTCTGGCTGAAATTCGTCACCCTTCTCACTACTGTGACTTCTGTCACAGTCATCTCCAATACTAATTTCTTATTTAATCTTATCCCGATGACAATTTAAGTTATCTCTACACTCAATCTAACAACATTCTCATCTCTTTTAAACTGAGGTTTAAAAATACCAGACGATCTGTGCTACAACTCAGTTTGTACTACACCAGGAGGTTTTTGCTTGGGTTTTCATTTTTTTAGTTTGTCTGTTTAAGAAACTTTGAAACCGGTTTCAAACTTTAATGAAGGCTGGCTGATCTTTAAATCAATCAGTTTTGAAATTACTGATATCAAATTGTCAACAGTTCATGGGCCAGTTCGGCTTAGTTCTGCAACTAATTCACACTTTGACCAATGATTCAAAAGGCAAATAAAAAAAGTTAAAGCTTTTTCTTAGTAATCAACATGATGGTGCAAGTTATTTACATCACTTTTCAAGCGTTCCTTGGAACATTTTATTCCATCTTGCTCTGCAAGGCTCTGAAACAGTAGTTCATTTGAGTTCTAGTAAAGCACTCCAATTTCGAATTTTTCTTACCCATCATTTTGCATTTTGCTCAACAAATGAAGTCCTCACTTCACAGTGTTACAAAACCCATGATGGGTGTGTTGCTGTATCAAATCAGATACAAAACACACCCAAAAAATCATGCCTACTTTCAAATGATCTACCAAGCAAAATAAGTCCTTTTGAAGGATTCTTTTCCTTCAACAAGCTTCAGCCGTAACTGAATCCAATGAATTAAAAACACAGACTTGTGCTTTAATCCACTTTGGCAGCTCTCTCCAAATCCAGACACCACAGGCCACGGGACTACATACAGTACAATTTCATTTGCATTCTTCCTAAACTCCACTTACACTCATGTTAATAATTTCAATTATAGTATTCTCAACACACTGGCACAACTGAACATCAGGGTCCACACTTGTAATGTCCCTTGAACAACTTTTGTAAGGCGAATCTTTACAAAGTCCCAACGCTTCATTTGGTCTCTCTTTTAGCTGCTGGAGACCTAAAAAAATTAAGTTAGAAAAACAAAGTGCATATAAATAAATAGTTATATTATATCCGTAACACCATTAAATTACTTGTGAAATACAAGCTGCCTCACTTACGTGTAATTATTGGGTCAAAGTCTCTTGTCTGTGTAGCAACATCAGAGGCACAAACTTGCCCTATCTGTATCAGCAGAGACATAATATCCTCATATAAAGGAGGGAAGGCTTGGCAGAATGACACCAAACAAGGCAGAGTTGGCATGAAAAAGGCATAGCGCTTTGACTGGGTTAAAACTACGGAGAAAAAGGAAATAGTTAAGTAAAAAGGAACTATTACCAAAATCTAGTCAAGAATTTTGTTACCTTTACAGTTGCAATTAATTTGTTGGCATTTTGGTAGAACTGTACACGACCTACACAAATCTAACTTCCACAGCAATGCGTTCGGGTGCTGCTGGACTGCTCACCTGTGAGTAGGGTTCCCATCACATTGATAGCCAAACGAGCCACGCTGAGAGATTTTGGTAGAGCATATTGAATGCACAAAAACGAAAGTAACTGGATGGCAAATATCTGTTAAGTAGGTGAAAGGCAAGAAAGAAATAAACAGTGAGCTATACATTGCTTTGCAATTACGATCCTAAGCTCTTCACATAACTTAGGAGTTAGTAAACATTCTCCATTTCACAATAAGGAAGAGAAGCCTTAAAAATAGTTATTGCAAAATTTTTCTGCAGACTTGAAAAAAAACACAACACAGATGTTTAACATTAGTCAAGCATCAGTTAGGCTTTCAGAATTTCTCTCACAGTCACAATTTGTTCCAACACTTCAATGAGCAACAAAGGAACAAACAATTTACAGTGTAATCCTTGTAAAAGCTGTTAAATATCCCATGTGTTCTAGCTCAAACTTCAGCTGAATGCCATCTCACAAGCAGTATTTAAAAGGGATTAAATAAAAGCAAACAAGAAATTTGTTTAACACAGAAAACAGAGGAATCTTTAGCTCCCAAATATTCAGCTACCTAGGACCAGAAAAATTCATGATCTGTCGCAGTATACCAAATCAACATTTACCATTGCTTTAGGAACTACTAATTAACAATTTCTTGCCCTTGTTTTTCACAACCATCACAAGAAGACCTTTCAAAAATCAAATTTCTGACTCTTCCTTTGCTAAGCTTCAATTAAGAAACAGTAGTAATATTCCCTGGGAAAAAAAAAAAAAACAAAAAAACAACAACTTGGTAGTCAAACCTTGCACAAGGAAAGATAAAATTTTGATTCTCAGGCTGCTCCATCTGCAGAGTATCTCTGCAAAAAAAAGCTTTTCAAAATCTGAACACTTGTGCAAGTTCCTCTAGCAATCAAGTATCTGCTAAAAAACTAAACAGACAAAACTTCTGCCAGCTGATAGATAACAATATAAAAAATGAAAGCTGTTACTTAAAGAGCTTCTATTCATGTTCTTAGAGGTGAAATAATATGAAATTCACGAGCATCTGCGAAACAAATGTATAGAGCTATGTTGGAGGAGTCCTGGATTTGGTTGCAGAGCCTTTAATTCAAGGTAAAAATGCTACAGACACTACCTTAATATACTGGGCAGCTTAGAGCAAGATTTTTTTTTTAAGTGATCTTTTTCTTTTCTCCCCCTAATGAAGACTGTATCATGGTTAACTACTTACAGCGATTCTCTGACTACATGACTGCACAGTACCTGTTTTTCAAGTTCAGGCTGGGCAATGAGCTCAGGTATGAAATCCAAACAGATGTGCATCGATGGAATCCCTGCCACTGTCAGGGCCAGCAGTTCACATGGATAACCCTGCCAGATTAAGAAAACAGATATACCAAAGGTGTTTTAAAAATTGCTTCACTAATGCTTTTTTCTAAACAAATATATACTTTTAACTTTCCTTCGTTCAGAAAGACAAGCAACAGGCCTACACCTCTAAGGCAACTTGAGGGAGGCTTGGTGAATCTGATCCACAGGACTCCAACATTTAGTATTTGTCCTAACTTGCTTATTTCATTAGGACTTCATTAGAACCATTAGGACTTTTCCAGCCTCTTAATCAATTCCAGGTTGAGGCAAATTAGCTGCTTTTAAAGAGACTGCCATCTGGCAATGTACAATTTAGCACACACCAAAAACCAGACTTATATTAAAAAAATTGCTTAGCTTCCCAGACTTCTTTTTTTTGAAGGCCTACAGTTGCCCTGTCAGGGGCATTCTTTAGCCTTCAACTCCGAGGAGATTAAGTGTGCCCTAACAAAAATGAAAGATAAGAGGTTTACATCTGAAACCACATTACGGGCTTTGAGTAATGGATACATGAATTTCAGATCACTGCCAGAAAAAAAGTAAACCCCTCACAATATGTGGAACAAGCAATTAAAAGATGTGCATGCCAGTTTTATTTGGCCCAGAATGGACACGCTATTTCAGTATATAATAGGGCAAAGGCAAAATCAAAGCTTGTGTTTAATGATGAGGAACAGACATGGCTTTGCTGCTCCCCTCTCAGCGACAACAGTGAGCAAAAGCACTGAAATTTGGAGGGAATGTGGTTACTACAAATGTGGGAAGACGGAAAGAAGAGTGTTTTTGTAATTTGTGAGGAACACAACAATAGCACCCAAAATCCTTTGAACACTTTGTTTGGTTCTTTCCTCACCAGAAAAAAAACCCACCAACATAAAAGAACTAAAATAATGCAAACCAGACCTGGAAATGAACTAGTTTTACTATGTTGGGGTCAGCTATATACATCTGATGCAGCAGACAGCAGATCAGACACTGGACCTCTCGAAGGTTACACAGCAAGCTATCTTCTTCTTCCTCTAGATCTGAACTCTTAGGACCTGTGGTACTCTGAACACTCTTTAGCAAACTGTAGGTACTACTGCTCTGGGTTTTCTCCTCTTCTGTGGGTAAGCAGATCTCTAGAAGAATCTGCACGGCAGCGCTGTCCTGTGAAGAAAAGCAGCAGGAGAACATAAACAATAGAGAAACAAACAAGGCACAAAACAAAATACAAAATAATGACAATTGTAGAAACTAAAGGCAGTTAGATTGCTAAATTTCTGGCTATTGAACTCTTTTTTTTTAATAGAAAAAAAAAACACAAAAAACCCAAGAAACAACAGATCAGGAAATATAAATCCCAGAAAACATTAAAATGTTACCTGAACAAATGCTTAAATCCAGTACATTAACATAATTATAGATCAGAGCAATCATTTCATGGGAGTCAAGTATTATTTCAAAATACATCTTCAACAGTCCATTAAAGCACCCAGATCAAACAAAATATGCATATGCCACACAATTCACAGTATTCAGAGACTACTCTGAACTTTTATTAACAGATTAAATAAATAATTCTCTAAGAGACACTTTATATGTGACATTCTTCCAAACAAAGGTAAAGAAAGAATGCCTGCGAAACACAGTTAATCAAGAACTCCCCAGAAAGTATTTAACAATCTGAATGCAGACTGCTTTTTCTTTTCCACCAAAAAAGAAAGTCAACTAAAACAAAACAAATAATCTATTAGGTCTCCTGTCTTTCCTTTTTTTATTTTCTATTTCTGTATTTCTGTTATATCATTTTCTTTCTTCATGACATTGACTAACCACTTTTCCTCTTTACCTGAGCAGCAAGCAATGCATTTTTCAACTCTTCCCTTGTAACTTCTGGGGTTTCTGGACCCATGGCATTGTTCTGGGATGGCCTAATGTCTTGCTCTGCTGTTTCTTTCAGGTGAGCATTGAGGTAAGCTTTTGAAGCAAGAAGATATCCATTCAACATGTGCAAAGTTATATCCATCAGAGGAGGGCTCCTGATACAGGAAATCATTAAATGAAGTCTTTTCAGTAGGCAGAACAGTAAGACAGTAATAGTAAAAACAAACCAAAAGAACTCAAAGATGCACTTGGCTGTACTCTGGATCATACTAAAGCTACTTTCCCTATCATCACAGAATACTGAAGGTTATAAGCCCTTCTGCTGCCCTGCTGTTTAGTTCTGCTTCTGTCATGCATATGCTCTACAAAAACGAGGAACTACTGAAGACACTAATTCTTGATAAACAGAGGAAACTAGAACAGAATCTGCAGTAGTGATTTGAGTAGTGAATCAGTGCTCTGAATGATGGAGAAAAAGCAAGCTCCACAAAACTACTCCCACAATACCAAGATGATAACTTCCAAATCACGTTGTCTTATAGATCTCTCTCATTATTAGAAACGTGAGATTTTCCATTTTCATCCTAGGCTGAAGGGACATGCATGTAAATATTTCATCTATGGGTTGACTTTAAAGATTTCTCCAATAGAA